CATAAAATGATTTGCTCACAAAACAAAACCATCTTCACTTCAATTACTGGGTGCTGTTGTTCAAAGGAGATTCCAAGGCCCATAGAAAATTTGCTGAGGATGCTGCTAAAACTCGCTGACTTTAAAATGTACAAAGCTTTCCTCGATTTACTGTCGTTCGTTTAGTGAATATTTGAACGGCACTGAAAAAACAATGACTTATGATTGGTCCTGGCACTTACAACCAATGCAGCATCCCCGTGATCATGGGATCAAAATTCAGGCATGTATTTATGATAGTTGCAGCATTCTGGGGTCACGTGATTGCCATTTGCGCCCTTCCCAGCTAGCTTCTCACTAAGCAAAATCAGTGGGGAGAAGCTGGATTTGTTTAATGACCGTAGGACTCACTTAATAATTGCAATAATTAGCTTAACAACCATGGCCAAAGAAAGGCTGTAAATCAAACATGGCTCACTTTGCTTAGCAGAGGAAATTTTGGTCCCAATGGTAATCGTAAGTTGAGGACTATCCATATACCAAGGACGTCTGCAGTTTATAATAATAATAATAATAATAATAGTTGGAAGGGACCTTGGAGGTCATCTAGTCCAACCCCCTGCTCAGGCAGGAAACCCTATACCCTTTCAGACAAATGGGTGTCCAGTCTCTTCTTAAAAACTTCCAGTGTTGGAGCATTCACCGCTTCTGGAGGCAGGTTGTTTCACTGGTTAATTGTCCTGACTGTCAGGAAGTTTCTCCTTAGTTCCAGGTTGCTTCTCTCCTTGATCAGTTTCCATCCGCTGCTTCTTGTTCTGCCTTCAGGGGCTTTGGAGAACAGCTTGACTCCCTCTTCTTTGGGGCAGCCCCTTAGATTCTGGAGCATGCTATCATGTCCCCCCTCGTCCTTCTCTTCATTAAACTAGAGAGACCCAATTCCAGCAACCGTTCCTTGTATGTTTTAGCCTCTAGTCCCCTGATCACCTTTGTTGCTTAGTTTCTTAAAACTCATCCCAAAGGAGCTTTTCAAAAGGCAACTAGACTTTCTCAGTGGTTGTGTTTTTTCCTTGAAAATATTTCACTTCTCACCCAAGGAGCTTCTTCAGTTCTGAAGAAGCAGAGAACTGAAAAAGCTTCCTGTATGAGAAGCGCAACATTTTCAAGAGGGGGAAAAAATCAAAGCAAGAAAGTTCAAAAGGTGCCTTTTGAAAAGCACCTCCGGGGCAGCCCTCCATGATCTAGATCAGGGGTGTCAAACGCGCAACGTCATGTGACATGTCGCAACATATCACAAATTTTTTTTGCCATTGTCGGCCATGGGGTAGGTGCAGTTTCACCATGATCCATCCGGCCCGCCGGCTGTCAGCTTGACACCCCTGATCTAGATGATTGGGAATCTCCACAGACCTTCTCAGAACTTACTACATTAGCAATACAGATGTGTGAGGCCCAAACAGTGTGAGTAAACCTCTTTCCTACCTGAAGGAGGCAAGCAGCTCAAGAGTTTCCCTCAAAATACATAGTCACTACAGGGAGTAGGATAGGGCTACCTAAGTCAACTCTCCACCTAATCTGCTCTAGGAATGGGAGAAATCCCCACAATTCTTCACAACCAGCAAGGCTTCTCCTAAGGGCAGGATTGGATGGGGGGGGATGGGGGGGGGAACAAGACGGCACCATAGCGCACTGCGTGGTTACTTTGAATAACCGTTGATAACGGGCAAAATCTCCTGCCTTTTTTTTTTTTTTTCCTCCTTCAGCAGTTCATGAGTGACCCAGAGTTACTGAAACAGCCAATCTTGCTCAATACTTGAGCGGCACCTACTGCTCGCTTTGCAGAAATGACAGCTGGCAGGGTGAAAAAAAACCTTTTTGAAAGGAGGGAAACTCATGTTATCTATGGAGTCTTAAAGTACATTATCTGTAAACATATATGCATAATTCTGTATTTATTTATTTATATTTGTCATGTTTATGTAGTGTATATTGGAGGTGATGAATGCAACGAAATTTCATTTTAATGTATGCCGATTATTGTACATTCAAAGTGACAATAAAGTTATTATTCTATTCTATTCTATTCTATTCTACTCTATTCTATTCTATTCCTATTTCTATTCTATTCCTATTTCTATTCCATTCTTTCATTATTCTATTCTATTCTATTCTATTCTATTCTATTCTATTCTATTCCTATTCCTATTCCTATTTCTATTCCGTTCTTTCATTATTCTATTCTATTCCTATTTCTATTTCTATTGCGTTCTTTCATTATTCTATTCTATTCTATTTATATTCCTATTCCTATTCCGTTCTTCCATTATTCTATTCTATTCTATTCTATTCTATTCTATTCTATTCTATTCTATTCTATTCTATTCTATTCTACTCTATTCTATTCTACTCTACTCTACTCTATTCTATTCTAGTCCTCGACTTATGACCATTCATTTAGCAGCCCTTTGAAATTACAGCAGCACCAGAAAAAAGAAAGTGGCTTACATCGGGTCCTCACACTTACATAGACACACATACAAACTGTTTCAATGTTCCCTGTGGTCATGTGATCACAATTTGGTCACTTAAGCAATTGGCATGTATTAACGATGATTGGGGTGTCCTAGAGTCATGTGATTCTCATTTACGACCTTCCCAGTTGGGAAGGAAATATGGGAGGAAGAAATCTTTTGCCGGTATCAGCTCAATCTAGAGCCATCCACAGGCAGCAGTCGCTACTGCGACATCATTTGTGTTTCCTAAATTTTGGGATTGCTAACAAAGAGTTAAGGGGGACTGATTAGCTCTCATCAGCCAGCCATACCCTTCTGGGATTCGAACCTGGGCTCCTTGCACATTAGGCAGCTCTCACAGTAGCTGCTGCTGCCTGTGAATGGCTCTAAATCAGTGGTTCTCAACCTTTTTAATGCCGCGACCCCCAAACAGTCATAAGTCGAGGACTACTCAACCGGTTGTAAGTCGAGGACTACTCAACTGGTGCAGCACCATTTGCAGAATGGGACTTTTGGCGGGCTCAGCAGGGCAGAGACAGCCTGGACAATTCCTATTGGTTTTTGAAAGCCAATAGAATTAGACTCTATTCAAGAGAGTCTATTCTATTGGCTTTCAAAAGCCAATAGAATAAAAGGGAGTAGCACAGCTAAGGAAAAGGGGGAAAAAATGGCGGACTGCGTTGTTTGGCGACCCCCGTGAAATGGCCGTTCAACCTCAAATGGGGTCCCGACCCACAGGTTGAGAACCACTGCTCTAGATTGAGCTGATACAGGCAAAAGATTTCCTCCTCCCATATTTGGGCCGACAGGTGAATCAAAAAAAACACTCAAGACATATCTCCTCCCCTGTCGACATCGTCAGAGTATAAAACATAGGATCCGGGAGTACGCTTATATACCGTAAATGCCGGCGTATAAGACGACTTCCGCAAGTGCTGAAATCGGCGCCAAAGACGGGGGTCGTCTTATACGCCGAGTCGTCTTATACGCCGGAAATACTGGTAGTTTCCGGCGTATAAGACGACGTTCTAGGAATGCGGCCCGAATATAAAGACGGGGGTCACCTTGTACACCGGCATTTACGGTAACTGGCTGCCCCTGCGCACTGCTCCTCAGTCGGATCATATATATGTGTGTAAGTTAATCTAACTCAGTTTTCCTAAAGGTCAGGGTCTTGTCTCACATAAAATGTTTTTTTATGCCAGGACAGAAAATTATCAGCAGCATCATCTGTTATGTAAGTAGGAAGAGGTTATGAATCAGACTTGAACTGGGGAAATCCCCCTAAATTCTCAGACTTTGTAAAAATAAGCCAAGGAAGTTATTTTTATACCAGATCCATTTAGGTATCTACCACATCCTGTATTAATTGGCAGTGGTTCTGCAGGATCCCAACTTGCCCCCCTTCCTTAGAGGTGACAGGATAGCAAGTCTTCCAGTATCTCAGGGGCTGCCCCAAAGAAGAGGGAGTCAAGTTATTCTCCAAAGCACCAGAGAAGAAGCAACGGACGGAAACTAATCAAGGAGAGAAGCAAACTGGAATTAAGGATGAATTTTCTGACAGTGAGAACAAAGAGGAATGGCTTCCTTCAGAAGCTACGGGTGCTCCATCACTGGAGAGACTGGACAACCATTTGCCTGAAAGGGTACAGGGCCTCTTGCTGGAGTAAGGGATTGGACTGGAGGCTAAAACATATAAGGAACGTTTGCTGGAATTGGGTATGTCTTGTTTAATGAAGAGAAGGACGAGGTGAGACATGATAGCAGTATTCCAATATCTCAGGGGCTGCCACAAAGAAGAGGGAGTCAAGCTATTTTCCAAAGCACCCGAAGGCAGGACAAGAAGCAATGGATGGAAACTAAGCAAGGAGAGAAGCAACCTAGAACTAAGGAGAAACTTCCTGACAGTGAGAACAATTAACCAGTGGAACAACCTGCCTCCAGAAGCGGTGAATGCTCCAACACTGGAAGTTTTTAAGAAGAAACTAGACAGCCATTTGTCCAAAATGGTATAGGGTTTCCTGACTGAGCAGGGGGTTGGACTAGATGACCTCCAAGGTCCCTTCCAACTTTATCATCATCACCATTATTATTATTATTATTATTATTATTACTACTACTACTACTATCTTCAAGATCCCTTCCAACTCTGTTATCCTTTAAGATCTCATTACAATCCTTTTCTCTGGAGATGCTTATGATCCAAGCTGGGGTTTCTGCACAAAATGTGTCCTCGTGCCATTCAGAAGAGCAGAAAACGTCTCCAGTGCTACTTGTTCTTTCTTTAATCAGAAAAGACATAGAAAAAAAAGTAGCTTTATGACCTTCAGATCAGAGGATAGAATTTACGCTCCCTCACTGAAATTCTGCTTGCTGTCTGCTGCCTTTTTCTTTTTCTTCTCATCAACGTCTACAGACCTTCTGCCAGGCTACTGAGTATTAACACAATCTAAGACGGGAACTGGGGTATCCAAGAAACCCCTTTGTACCAGGTAGCCATGAGTAACTCACAGGTATGCTCCATATCTGTATCCCGTCGCTGTAGCCAATCATGAGCAGAAGAGGAGGTTCGTTCCCGGTGCTGTGCATTTCGTGCAGCTCCACGTTCCTTAAGGTATCTAAAAAAAAAACAAACGAGAAAAAGAAATCAAAGTTCAACAGCACCAGATTAGGACAAGGCTTCCGTGGAGTCCGAAGAGGTGGCACGGAGAACAGAACGGATAACAGAGTTGGAAGGGACGGTGGAGGTCTTCTAGTCCAACCCCCTGCTCAAGTGGGAGACCCTATACAATTTGACACAAGCGGCTGTATTAATAATAATGATGATTCACAGATAGTGGGAAGCAAAGAAGAAATGAGCCGAAGTAGCGCAGCAGTTAGGGTGCAGTACTGCAGGCCACTTTAGCTGACTGTGCTTGCACTTAAAGCGGTATATAAGTCTCATAAATAAATAATGAGCGAAGAAAGAATATCCCTGGAGAAATTAAGTAAAAAAAAAAAAAGGAGAAGCCGTGTCATTTCATTGATATGCTCCTAATAAAAGGCTTTCTTCGCTCATTAACAAAAGCGGTGTGCCAACGAGAGCAGTCAAGAAACTGGGAGTTCTTAGGACTTTTGAGCGCCCGGTAAGAAATCTCTTGTGTTGTGCTGACATTTCAAGGTGATGGAGGACAATGCAGGTGGTCCTTGATTTATAACCACAATGGAGCCCGGAATTTATGTTGTTAAGTGAGACATTGATCAAAATGAGTTTTGCCCCATTTTATGACTTTTCTTGTCGCAATTGGTAAGTCAATCACTGCAGCTGTTAAATCAGTAACACGGTTGTTCAGCGAATCTGGCTTCCCCGTTGACTGGTCACATGACCCCCGAGACATTGCAACCGTCGTAAATACAAACCAGCTGTCAAGCAACCGAATGTAAATGACGTGACCATGGGGATGCTGCCACGGTCATAAGGGTGAAAAATGGTCATAAGTCAATTTTTTCAGTGCCGTGGTAACTTCGAACAGTCATTAAATGAACTGTTAAGTCGAGGACTACCTGTAATTGTCTCTTAAGGTCCTTTGCGATAGATAGATAGATAGATAGATAGAGAGAGAGAGAGAGAGAGAGAGAGAGAGAGAGAGAGAGAGACAGACAGACAGATGATATAGATCAGTGGTTCTCAACCTTTCTAATGCTGTTGCCCCATAATACAGTTCCCCATGTTGTGGTGACCCCCAACCACTTATACATCACCGGGTGCCAGGGGCGTGGCCAAAGAAAAGGGGGGAAAAATGGCGGACAGCCTTGTTTGGCGACCCCCGTGAAATGGTCGTTCGACCCCAAATGGGGTCCCGACCCACAGGTTGAGAACCACTGATATAGATAGATAAGACAGACAGACAGACAGACAGATAGAGAAACAGACAGACAGATCCAGGAGATAGATCCAGGAGATGATAGAGACAGACAGACAGACAGATAGATATGGATGGATAGATAGATAGATAGATAGATAGATAGATAGATAGATAGATAGATAGATAGATAGATAGAAATATTGATATAGATATATATAGATAGATATAGATATATAGATATAATAAAACTAAAAAGGCAGATCACCGAGACTAAAAATGTTATTTAAAACTTAGCTTTCGTCAGCAGCTGTTGACGTTATCAAAGTATAAGCCAGGATTGGGGATAAGTATAAGCCAGGATTGTTTTTATAGTTCCTGGGAAGCTAACAGTTTTGTCAATGCACACGTTACGCGTTATTATGAATACACCCGAGACTCGCATTTTTAAAATAATTTTAGATATACCTATATAGAGGTTGTCCTCGACTTACAACCAGAATTGAGCCCCAAATTTTTGTTGCTAAGTGAGACATTTGTTAAGTGAGTTTTTGCCCCATTTTATGACCTTTCTTGCTACAGTTGTTAAGTGAATCACTGCAGTGGTTAAATCAGGATGACCCACTTTGCAACCATCACAACTTGTGACTATAAAGGGCAGGCTCCATTACAGCCATAAGTTGAGGACTACCTGTAAACAGTTTGGGCCTGTTTCTGGAATTGGAATATTGGAAGAAAAATCAGGTCCAGTTCCAAGCCGGGAATAAAAAAAATGGAGGCTGACTGCTTAGGAAAGGTTCTTGTTTATTGGTGAGCAGAACCAGCAACAGCATGCAGTTCTCACAAGCGGCTGGGTGAGTGGATGGATCTTTATGGGGCTCTGAGACTTCAAAGTGGAAATGTTTCTGGGTTGTGCAATGAGGTGGCTTTTGTGTCTTTTGCTAGTCTGAAGATGGTGTTGGGCAATTCCTATTGTGCCTAAAAGACCACATCCTGTCTTTGGATTTGGGTGAGGGGATGCAAATTCTTAATCCCATCAGCTGTGGGGGCTGAAGACCTTTTGTTTATGAATAGATTGGCCTAGTCCAGTGCTGGCGAACTTATGACACGGGTGCCAGAGGCGGCACTCAGAGCCCTCTCTGTGGGCACGCACACCGTCGCCCCAGTCCTAGGCCGTCAGCTGGGTTTTATAAAACCTTTTCGCTTTAGGCCTCCGCTGCCGTGTGCAAAAAAAAAAAAGGTTCAATCAGTCAATTTCAACTTCTTGCGGGAAAAAAAAGATCTTTCAAAGTTGGAATTGATTGATTGAACTTTTTAGTCCCACCCAGTCTGCCGTTACCACCGCAGCCATGCTCACCCAATGGGCCACACCCAGGCAATGGGCCATACCCACCCGGCACTCAACAACGCATAAGTGGGTTTTGGATTGCAGTTTGGGCACTTGGCCTCTAAAAGGTTCGCCATCACTGCTCTAAAGAATGCAAATGACGCCTTCAAAGAAAAACAAGAAAGTCCAGTTGCCTCTTAAAAAAGCACCTTTGGGACAACCAGAACCTGGATGACTGAGAATCTCCATAGACGTTGAACATCGTGTGGTATAAGCAAGGTTGATATCTGAAAGCAACAAGGGTGGTGTAAACATGGCCTATGCGCCCTGTGTATTTATGTAATGCTATAAGGATGAGAGTAGTAATGTCTCTGTAGGACAGACGCAGGAGAAGCACAGGCTCTGTTGTCTATGTATGCAGAGTCACAGGCACATCATCTCTCCAGGGAGGGAATCTTCCTGTATCAGCCTTCAAGAGCGGCTAAAGGGGAGGGTATGACGTTATACCAAAGAACAGGCCTTCCTGTGACTAGGTAGACCTAGTCCTCAACTTACAGCCATTTGTTTAGTGGCCGTTCGAAGTTACAATGGCACTGAAAAAAAGCGATTTGTGACCGTTTTTTCAGCATCCTGTAAAGAGTTTGGGCCCGTTTCTGGAATCGCAGCAAGAGGAAAGCTACATAGACTTCAAGAAGGACGGTATTCTATAAGGGGGGGGCTATTCCAGCAATTCCGTGATCATGTGATCAAAATCAGAGTGAGCACATATAGGGAGTGGGTTTTTATATCCTCTGTAGCCTTTTGTTTGGAGTTGTTTCCTGTTCCTGTTTGAGGCATGAACTTTGACCTGAGTCTGAGTGTGCCCTTTGGTATCTGTGGGTTAATCCTATTATGTCCTGTCTTAGAGTTTGGGCGGGGTATGTAGATTTTAGGAATCTTTGTCTTCCTAAGCTTCTAGCTGGGAGCCTCCAACCTTCCTGGATGGTTTACATCTGCATTTCTACAGAGCTGGTTTCTGTCTGGGGGAGGGAGACTTGGGGCCATTAAGAAAAACTGGGCATGCTTTTCTGCCTCTTTAAGATCCTTTGAGGAAATATATTTTTCTGCCCTTTTAATATTTCCTTCTCTGGGGGGCTGACTTCCCACAGAAGGAAGGCAGATTCGCTGAACAATCATATGATTCGCTTAATAATTGCAGCGACTCTTGAACAACTATGTGTGAGAAGTAAGTCTTCATCCTGGTTCATCCAAGCCGGGAATAAATAAGCAAACATGGCGACTGCTTTCGGAAGAAGGTTACAGTTTATTGCAGAAAGCTGGTTCTTCAGGAAAGTGCAGAGGAGAGAAGGGGCTGAGCACATGGTGTAGTAGGTTTTTATACCCCCTCTAGCCTTTTGTTTGGAATGGTTTCCTGTTCCTGTGGCATGAACCTTGAGGCTGTTTCTGAGTGTTTGTCTAGGCCTTGATATCTGTGGTTTAATCCTATTATCATATCCTGCTTCCCAGGAGATGGGGCTAATGGCTCCTAGAGTTTGGGTGGGATATTCAGATCTTCTTTTTTGTCTTCTTGATTGCTCTGGCTCCAACTTTCTGATGGTTTTACATCTGCATTTGTATGGGGCTAAAGTCTTGCTTGGGGCAGAGAGATAGATTTGGGGCCAGGTTTGGTTTTAAAAAGTCCTTTTGAGGAAAAATATATTTTTCTGCCCTTTTTAATATTTCTTTCTCTGGGCTAACTTCCCTCAAATGGCAAAAAAGGTCGTAAAATGGAGCGCTTAAGAATCGCCTTGCTTAGCAAGGGAAATGTTGGGGACTCGCTCTGTAGGTAGTCGGAGAAAGAACATAATCCATTTGTTACCATCTGAGATGGAAGGAGATAGCTCTCAAAACACAGATACCACAAGACTGAATAGAAAACAACACGGCCATGAACTGGGGTGGGAAGTGGGAAGGAGAGAGCGACTTACCATTCAAGTCAGAATTTTCAAATCTGATCCATACAATTTTCTCTTTTTCTTCTGTTGGAGCCGTACTGCTATAAGCCTGTATGGGGGAAGGGGGAAAAAAAAAAGAAGTTTAATGTGCTCAAGATAAAAAGAAAAAGCCTCAGATGAACAAAGATGCTTTTTCACGAGGCACCTGGATTTTCTTGTTTTTCTTTAAAGGCGTTTTGCTCAGATCAGTGGTTCTCAACCTGTGGGTCGGGACCCAATTTGGGATCGAACGACCATTTCACAGGGGTCGCCAAACAACGCAATCTGCCATCCCCCCCCCCCTTTTCCTTAGCTGTGCTACTACCTTTTATTCTATTGGCTTTTGAAAGCCAATAGAATAGACTCTCTTGAATAGAGTCTAATTCTATTGGCTTTCAAAAGCCAATAGGAATTGTCCAGGCTGTCTCTGCCCTTCTGAGCCCGCCAAAAGTCCCATTCTGCAAACGGTGCTGCACCAGTTGAGTAGTCTTCGACTTACAACCGGTTGAGTAGTCCTCGACTTATGACCGGTTGGGGGGTCGCGGCATTAAAAAGGTTGAAAACCACTGGCTCAGATGAACAGTGAACAGCTTAACTCTGTTGACAGACCACAGAGCCAATTTGGTGTAGCAGTTAAGGTGTTGGTAGAAAAACCTGGAAACTGAGTTCTAATCCCGTTTTAGGCATGAAAGCCAGCGAGGTGACTTTGAGCCAATCATCAGGAGACAGTGAGTTCTAGTCCCGCCTTAACCATGAAAACCAGTTGGATGACTTTCGGTCCCTCTTCCTCTCAGCCCAACCCATCTCAAAGGGTTGTGATTGCGGGAAAATATTAGGAGGATGGAATATATGTGTTCGCCGCCTTGAGTTATTTATACCAGGGCTTTTCAACTTTTTCACCCATTGTACCACTTTTAGGATACGGCAATATCCAAGTACCACCAGCCGCCTAGCAAGGTGTCAAAAACTTGATGATCAAACAAAAGAAAAAAGAAAAAAAGAAAAAGTGAGTAGTACAGGTAGTCCTTGACTTACAATAGTTCGCTTAGTGACTGTTTGAAGTTACAATGGCACTGAAAAAAGTGCCCCCCAAGGCACAGCCTAGCAAGATACCTGCCTGCCCACCTGGCCGCGCTCTTCCTTCTGTCCGAGGTTTTCATTGTTGTGAATATTTCTGTTGAGGATTGGCAGCAGGGGTGGAGTGGGGGGGTGTTTGGTTTTTACTCCCCCCGTCTGCTGAGTGGTTGCAGCAGGTTTTGGTCACTTCACATGACCCTGGGACACTGTGACTGTCATAAATATGAATCAGTTGCCAAGCATCTGAATGTAAATCACAAGACCCTGGAGAGGCTGCAACATTCCAGCTGATCGGCGCTTCTTCTGGGCTCAGCAGAAGCACCAGCATCAGCGCTGAGCTCCAGCTGGAGCCTGGCGTTGTTTCTTGCGCTTCCGCTGAACCCTGACAGCCCTGCAGCTCCAGCCGTCTCTCGCTCAGGCTTGTGCGGTGCTGCCAGTGGTTCAGCTCATTCCCCTCCCCCGCTATTTTTCTAGGATGGTCGCATACCAGCTGCCAGGTGCCAATGTACCACAGGTGGTACCCATAACACGGGTTGAAAAGCCCTGATTTATACAATAATAAAGGCAGGATAAAAATCTAATAAATAAAATATTGCATCCTCTTTCCAAAAATGATAACACAGTTTCACTATCCTGCTTTCCTGTTTAAGTGCTGTCATTTTCTAACCATCCTTCTATACTACACAGCTAGTAATTTTCTGGGCTGGAGGGCACATTTGTCCACCTATAATACTGCACAGTACTGATGCTTCAAGCAGGCCATTAACTACTCCCCCCCCCCGGTGCCCCATTTTGATTACAATCATATAAATATTCACAATCTGAATTTAATTTCTTTTAAAGTATACAACTCATTTGCATAACACGTTAAACCAAAATCCAACCAATCACATTATGACTTATTGCGATATACAAACTATGACCCACTGATCGACATAACTTGGCACGCTCTTTTCTGCATTTTTTTCTGCATCTTCCCACATGACGCCACTTTTTTGGGGGGGGACCCATTTTAAGAGGACAAGTTTAAAACGTTGCAACAAACCAGCTGCACTTGCCTGCGGTACAACATCTTGCAGAAATGTAACGACGCTTTCCATGTATGACTGCTCTCTGGAACAGAAAGATAAATATCCATAAAAAACAACAATGGTTATTATATACATACACAAATGTCCCTGGTGGAATTACAGGTTAAGCAGCATCAAGCATATTGCAAAATAGGAGTAACAAACAGTAACCCAAAGATATGAAGGGTATAAGATAAGAAAAAAGATAGGACACTGAATTAAGTTAGGTTTAAAACTGCATTTTTCTGAACATCACAGATTTTTTTTTTCCAAAAGTCAACTTTGATACTTTCGTTATCACTATTCACTGGAACCTAACATGCAACTATGAAAAAATTTTATAAAAGTAAATGTACCTACAAATGGCTTGAAGAATAAAAACTGACTTCAAAAGTTAAGAGAGAGTTTCTAAGAAAAATGACAGAATTTGAAATACTCATAGAGAATTAAGACTGCCAATTAAGACCTGAGATTATGACAGCTCATCGTTGTTAACAGCTGTTGTGAACTCTGGGCTATACCAGACAAAGCCATTCCAAAGTGCGTATCAAAATAACCCACAACCAAAAACCATCACTCTTACACATTGCATGTTTAGCAAACTTCAGCAGCAGAAAAATTCAAGTTTTATCTTCCATTTGGAACTCTAGATCAGAGGTCTCCAACCTTTTGGGCATCAGGGACTGGTTACGTGGAGAGAGGTTCTTCCACGGACCAGAGAGTGCGTGGTTTTGTGTGCTGCCTGCATCCCACAGATAGGGCTTTTCTTGTTTGTGTGGACCGGTTGCTGGCATGCCGTGACCTGGGGGTTGGTGACCCCTGCTCTACATGAACAATATGGAATTGTACCTATATTCTATAACAGTAGTTCTCAACCTTTTTAATGCCGCGATCTCCAACCGGTTGTAAGTCGAGGACTACTCAACCCATCGTAAGTCAAGGACTACTCAACTGGTGCAGCACCGTTTGCAGAATGGGACTTTTGGCGGGCTGAGCAGGGCAGAGACAGCCTGGACAATTCCTACTGGCTTTTGAAAGCCAATAGAATAAAAGGGAGTAGCACAGCTAAGGAGAAGGGGGAAAAAAATGGTGGACTGCGTTGCTTGGTGACCCCCGTGAAATGGTCGTTCGACCCCAAATGAGGTCCCGACCCACAGGTTGAGAACCACTGTTCTATAAAGTCATGCTAGCACAGTGGTTAGAATGCAGTATTGCAGGCTGACTCTGCCGACTGTCAGAAGTTTGATCTTAACCAGCACAAGGTTGATTGAGCCTTCCGTCCTTCCGAGGTCAGCAAATTGAGGACCTAGATTGTTAGGAGGAAAATGCTGACTCTGTAAACCGTTTAGAGAGAACTGTAGAGCACTGTGAAGCAGTACATAAGTGCTATTCCTTCCTTCCTTCCTTCCTTCCTTCCTTCCTTCCTTCCTTCCTTCCTTCCTTCCTTCCTTCCTTCCTTCCTTCCTTCCTGCCTACTGCCAGGAGTTCAGTCCTGACCGGCCAAGGGTTGACTCAGCCTTCCATCCTTCTGAGGTTGGTAAAATGAGGACCCAGATTGTTGGGTGCAAATATGCTGACTCTATAAACTGCTTTGACAGGGTTGTAAAGCACTGTGAAGCAGCATATAAGTCTAAGTGCTATTGCTATTAACCACTTACGTAACAGCCTGTGGCCGGACTATCACTCCTCCAGTACATCGGCTTGGGCGGCGGGGAGATTCAGCAGCCATTACTGTTCTTAATTCCTGGAAGCAAAAAAAAAAAGTGTTTTTGAATTATGTCTCACACTCTCTTATTCACCCACTTCTTCAGTGATCATCAACAGCACACTAGTTAAAAAAGAAACTGATATCGAAAGGTATGCAAACAGCAAAATCAGCAGGTCAGAAAAGGCAAGTGATGATGGATCAATACTGCATTTTACCTCCCACAGCTTAAAACCTTGAATTGGAATCTCTAAAGCAGTGGTTCTCAACCTGTGGGTCGGGACCCCATTTGGGGTCAAACGACCATTTCACGGGGTCGCTAAACAACGCAGTCCACCATTTTTTTTCCCCTTTTCCTTAGCTGTGCTACTCCCTTTTATTCTATTGGCTTTTGAAAGCCAATAGAATAGACTCTCTTGAATAGAGTCTAATTCTATTGGCTTTCAAAAGACAATAGGAATTGTCCAGGCTGTCTCTGCCCTGCTGAGCCCACCAAAAGCCCCATTCTGCAAACGGTGCTGCACCAGTTGAGTAGTCCTCGACTTACAACCGTTTGAGTAGTCCTTGATTTATGACCGGTTGGGGGTCACGGCATTAAAAAGGTTGAGAACCACTGCTCTAAAGCCCTGCCTAAAAAATGCCCAGATTACCTCAGTCTTTGTATGTAGATAGAAGTAATAGAAAAATTAAGTCACTCCTAACTCGGGGGTCACTTCATCCAATCATATTAAGCTAAAATGAAACGAGGACAATATAGTTTGGTGTGATATACAAAATTACCACTAAAATCAGTGAGGCTAAAAGTTAACTGCTGCCCAGAGTAGCCCAACGGTGAGATACCGGTAGGTGGCAAATAAATTTAACAAATAATAATTATAATAACTAAACTAACCAGACTGTATTTCAAAGATGTACCCAAAAGCACAACTAAATATGGAATCAACCAACTGCCAGTCTCACAGGAAACAGGGCTGCAAGCATGCGCATGACGCTTTCAATGATGCTGGCGCCTGTGTGAGGCTCGTGGTGCCGCCACCGCTAGGCTCCTGGCGATGCTATCACCAGTGCAAGCCCCCACGCGAGGCTCGCACCGTGGCCCACGTGCCGTGTGCGGAGCTGCCACCGCCCGCACACGTTTTGTGGCAATGCCGCCTACATGTGGTGTGCCGCCGCCCACCTGCCGCTCACAGCGCTCCTACTGCCCGCACACATTTTGTGGCAACGCTGCCACCCACGCGATACTGGAAACAGTGGCATGAGGGGGGTTGAGTACGCACACATGCGCACATGCTCTGCCCAGCTACTCACGTGGCCCAGTGGTGAAGAGGCCATGGCCCGGTAGTGGGCCGTGGGCCATAAGTTGGGGACCTCTGGTTTCTAGCATTTATTCTACATTGCCAGATTCTCAGCTATTCCTTCTTCCTTGTCCTTTTTAAACATATATGCCGTCCAAGAAAAACAAGGTAATTGTATCCTAAGATCAAAAGTTGTTTTTTAATTCTTATTTTGTCTTCTGGGAATGGTCATTTAAAGAAGCCCACGAATGAGTTCAAAAGAATCCTTCCGGCGCGTAGATATACCTGACCAGCAGGGGGCCACAGTACGTATGTTTTGATGGCCCCAAAATCTGAAGCTGACAGAACTGTCTCAATCATAACCTCAACTGTGTACAGGTATTCCTCAACATACGAACATGATCGAGCCCAACATTGCTGCTGCTAAGTGAGATAGTTGTTAAGTGAGTTTTGCCCCCTTTGATGACCTTTCTTGCCAGAGCTGTCAAGAGAAGCACTGCAATTGTTAAATTAGTAACGGTCGTTAAGTAAATCCGGCTTCCCCATTGACTTTGCTCGTCAAAAGTTCCCAAAAGAGGATCACATGACCCCAGGACACTACGACCGTCACAAAAAGGAGTCAGTTGCCAAGCATCTGAATTTTGATCACGTGACCACGAGGGAGACTGCAACGGTTGTAAAGTGTGAGAAAAATGGTCATGTCACTTTTTTCACTGCTATTTGAAGTTACATGGTCACTAAACAAACGGTTGTAAGTCAAGGGCAACCTGTACATATAGACATGGTTGTCTCCTCCGTTCCACTCCAGCCCCTGCTTTTTTATCTCAAACTCCCACAGCAGCTGCTCAGTGTTTCTCAACCTTGATAATTTTAAGGCATGTGGACTTCAACTCCCAGAGTTCCACAGCCAGCATTGCTGGCTGTGGAACTCTGGGAGTTGAAGTCCTCATGCCTTAAAATTGTCAAGGTTGAGAAACACTGTTTATTAAAGGAAAAAAACAGCTAAGAATTTGTTCCACAAGGAGTGAAAAAAGCTCTTTTGGGGGGTTGTTTTTTTTTTTGAGAAGCCCCTATTTTCAAACACTTCTAGTGCTCTATCCTCCCTGTCCCAAGAGCACCTGTAGTATGTCTCTCAGATTCCCCACCCTATCAACGGCTCTTGCAGATGTTCCTTAAACTGTCTTACGTTCTTGCTCCTTCACTTCCATTTGCTTTTAAATTAGTAGGTAACCCCACTGACATTATTAAGTTCCCTTTCCATGCCCTACAATTAAGATACACTACAATTAGGGGACTGGAGGCTAAAGCATATAAGGAAAGGCTGCTGGAATTGGGAATATCTAGTTTAAAGATGAGAAGGACAAGGGGGGACATGATAGCAGCCTTCCAATATCTCAGGGGCTGCCCCAAAGAAGAGGGAGTCAAGCTATTCTCCAAAGCGCCTGAAGGCAGGACAAGAAGCAGCGGATGGAAACTCATCAAGGAGAGAAGCAACCTAGATCTAAGGAGGAATTTCCTGACAGTGAGAACAATTAACCAGTGGAACAACCTGCCTCCAGAAGCGGTGAATGCTCCAACATTGGAGGTTTTTAAGAAGAGACTTGACAGCCATTTGTCCGAAATGGTATAGGGTTTCCTGCCTGAGCAGGGGGTTAGACTAGATGACCTCCAAGGTCCCTTCCAACTTTTTATTATTATTATTATGGATCATCGCACAGTCAGCCAGATGTTCAGACTGGATTTGGCATTTTGTCTATCTATCGAGTCCTTACCCAGGACCTGGGATAGGCAGATGTAGATGTTTGATGGTATTACAGGTATCGTCGCAGGATGGAAGCAGTTCCTAGTAAGGCCACCTTTTGCAATTGACTAATAGCGAATTTGTCAATGCCAATGGTGTTCAAGTGGTGCTCCAGTTGTTTTGGGATTGCACCCAAGGAGCCTATGACTATTGGTACTACCCTTGCTTGCTTTTGCCACAGTCTTTCTATTTCTATTTGTAGGTCTTTGTATTTTGTTATCTTCTCCAGTTCTTTCTCGTCTATTCTGCTGTCTCCAGGCACTGCCACGTCCACTATCCAGACTTTTTTGTCTTTCTTATCGACAATTGTTAAGTCTGGGGTGTTATGTTGCAGGTGCTTGTCTGTTTGAATTCTGAAGTCCCAGAGCAGTTTAATTTTATCATTTTCTATGACTTTCTCTATTTTATGATCCCACCAGTTGTTGTTGTTATTATTATTAAAATGGGATCTTTCAACCCCATTCTTTCCTAACATTATAACAAATTAACTGGCAAAGTGTTGCCTAAATCATCTTTTGGACTGATCAATAAAATAAAGGCAAAAAAAGCTTTTTATTCTGCTGGCCTAATATAAATAAAAAATGCAATCACTCAAGTAGTAGATATAAAGCAGTAAGAATGCAATGTGCCAAATCACAGCATTGGTTATCAATGGGTAATGTTCAGTGATGGCTGTGTCCGCACAACACACTGACCCACAAATTAATCATGGGGTTAGTATACAGTTAGCATGCAAATCGAAAAAATTGAGTCAGTTACCCATGGCCAAATATGTTAACACGGGAACTGTTTGCTCAGTCATAGCTTGTGAAATAAATTAGCTAGATTCACACAACATCAGTCAGGCTGCTTGGTAGCATATGCCATTCAAATACATTTGGTGTCTTGTGAGTAGTCGGGGAAAAGGAGGGTACTAAGCATGAATAGTTATTGTGTTATTTATTAATCTGATTAAAGGAAATCAAAATAGTGGCTTGTTAGAGTTTGCAGAACACGGCAGCTTGGTTTGCATGAGATAGGGAAGCTCAAACTAGCCAACTGGCTTTTAGTTAATGTGTCACTGCTAAGTTTACAGTTCAATGTATTTTGCAAACTTCAACAATGAATATTCAAATGTGATAACAACAAATGTGACCTGGAATATAGGGTGTATTTGCACAACATTCGTAACCGTGGACAATTTAATGAAGGTATATTCAACATTGATTTAATTGAATATTACCTTCATTAAATTATCCATGATTACGAATGTTGTGCAAATACACAACAGGTCACATTTGTTGTTATCGCATTTGAATATTCAGTAATGTTATTTTATTTGTGATATTATAAGTGATGTACAGATGTCATTACACTCATGCTAAACATAAATAATACCGTATGTCCAAGTATTTGCCTCACTCACTCCTTATTCAGTCACATACATTTACATCTAATAGCCCTTTCGATTAATTCTTACCTCTATCCTACACAAAAACCAGTCTCTGGTCTCATACATTACACCAAGCATAATATTAATTGAAAAGAATATTTGTAGCTCTGGTCTGAACTGTTGTTATTTTCTTGCAGACATTTGATTACCCAACTAAGTAACATCAATAGTGCTAAAAGAGAGTGCGATTTGCTCTCATTATGTTAGGACTGATGATGTTATCTAGTAATGAAACATCTGCAAGAAAATCACCAAGCTCAAAGATCACCAAGAACCCCACAACCATAGAACTACTTGTTTGATTCTGATATAGAATAATTCATACAATATGCTACAGTATGATTGATCAATTTCCCATAGCTGGCTGATTTTACGTCATGCTAAACTGTAAATAAACTAACCATATCACATCTTAGTTCCTTGTGACCCCAACAGCTTTGTCAACTATAGTTTATGTATATGTATTTTCCATTTGGGCTTCTAAACAACTCTAGGTAAATTCAACTAACAACTATTCGTTTAGTGACTGTTTTAACATTACAACAGCCCTGAAAAAAAATGATTTATAAAAGTTTAACACACTTACAACATCCCTGTGGTCACATGATCAAAACACAGATGCATGGCAACTTGTTCATATTTATGATGGTTACAGGGTCCCAGAGATATGTGATCACCTTTTGCAAACTTCTGATAAGTAAAGTCAATGGGAAAGCCAGATTCACTTAACAACTGTGTTACTAAATTAACGGTGGCAGTGATTCACTTAACAACTGCAGTAGGAAAGATCATAAAATGGGGCAAAACTCACTGAATTGTCTTGCTTAGCAACAGAAAATTTGGGCTCATTTGTAGTCAGAAGTCGAGCACTATCTGTACACACTAAAAAGAAATATAATAATACCGCAGTATTAAAAAAAAGATTAAATTAGATTTCCCAAATAAAAGCCTCATTAGTAGAATTTCCTTGGTGGGTCCTTTTAAGTAGTAACTCTGAGAGGGATCTCGGAGTCCTAGTGGACAATCCCTTAAATAGGAGCCAGCCGTGTGCTGCAGCTGCCAAAAAAGCCAACACAATGCTAGGCTGCATTAACAGAGGGACAGAATCAAGATCACGTGAAGTGTAAATACCACTTTACAATGCCTTGGTAAGGCCACACTTGGAATACGGCATCCAGTTTTGGTCACCACGATGTAAAAAACATGATGGGACTCTAGAAAGAGTACAGAGAAGAGCAACAAAGATGATCCGGGGGTTGGAGGCTAAAGCATATAAGGAACAGTTGCTGGAATTGGGAATGTCTAGTCCAGGGGTAGGCAACCTTGGCTCTTTTATGACTCGTGGACTTCAATTCCCAGAATTCCTGAGCCAGCCATACTGACTCAGGAATTCTGGGAGTTGAAGTCCACAAATCATAAAACAACCAAGGTTGCCTACCCCTGGTCTAGTCTAATGAAGAGAAGGACGAGGGGGAACACGATAGCAGTGTCCCAATATCTCAGGGGCTGCCCCAAAGAAGAGGGAGTCAAGCTATTCTCCAAAGGGCCTGAAGGCAGGACAAGAAGCAATGGATGGAAACTCATCAGGAAGCAACCTAGAACTAAGGAGAAACTTTCTGACAGTGAGAACAATTAACCAGTGGAACAACCTGCCTCCAGAAGTGGTGAATGCTCCAACACTGGAAGTTTTTAAGAAGAGACTGAACAGCCATTTGTCTGAAATGATATATAGGGTTTCCTCCCTGAGCAGGGGGTTGGACTAGATGACCTCCAAGGTCCCTTCCACCTACCCTACCCTACCCTACCCTATCCTGCCGCAGCCATGACAGGAGGGTGAAAAGTTGCCTGGCTCAACCCCCTCCCCCCCCGCCGGTTGTGGAAACCAGGGCTTCAAATGATACGTGGACCTTGAAGCCAAAGGGCCAAAAAAGGCCTGTGCCCCAGATCTGGCAGCCCTACAGGCTCAGCATGATGGGCTTCGGGGTCAGTCTCGCTCTCTGAGGCTGGCCTACCTCGCAGGGCTGCCGTGAGGGAAAAAGAAAGGGGGGGGAGAAGGAAACCTCGGAGGCTTGAGGGAAATGGGGGGGGTTGGGATACCCCCCTATTAGCAGACGGGTGAAATAGGCCGCCTCAGACACCCCCTTTCCCACGTGCCCCCCAACTCCCCCCATATCAAATTGGCTCCCTCACACGACCCTCCCCCACCTTTCCTGACAGCCTGGCTTCCCCTCCACCTCCCCACAAGCCCCACCCACCGCTCGCGCTTCCCATAATTCCCCCCCCCCTCCGTCTACCTGCTGCGGTTGAAGCGCCTCGCTTTTTCCCCCTCCCTGGTAATATTTGGGACCCTCTCACCGGCCGCCGCACTGACAGCCAATGGTCGGCAAGGGGAGGCGGGTGCTGTTCTGCTTTTGGATCCAATCAGTGGCCAGCTGGGCGGTTGGCAACACTGCCGAGGGTGGTTGTCACTCTCGCTTTCTCCCGACGTTTTCCTTCTTGCCCAATCGCCGCAACTAAGCTAGGTTGAGAAAGCTCGACGTTTTGGATGCTTTCGACGCTCCCACCTGCGGGGGGGAGGGAGGGTTGTTTACATCCGGGTCTCAAAGGAGGAGGAGGTGCTTGACATGTTGCAGCCGGTGCTGGATTAGCCAATGGGATTCGGGGTTGTCGGATGCGCGTAAGCCACACCCACCAGTGACGAAAGGGAAGGTTGTTTAACGCTTTCCACTTGGGAAGGGGCAAACTGAGGACGAGGCGTGTGACGTCAGGCCGCGGCTGATGCAATGACGTAAACAGTAAAGCGCCTTCAGGACATGTAGAGATAGAAAAGTGTAGCGAGGGACAAATGGTTATTTGACAAAGTAACTTTTTAAAAATCACGGCATAAGGTGAAAAGGTGAAAAGGTCTTAATTTTCACAAAATTAAGGGCTCTAATTAATAAAATTAAGGGCTGTTAATTCACAGAATTAAGGTCTCTTCCAACGCCGTTCTTCTGTTCATATTTTTTTCCTTTGGTCTACTGATTAAGGTGCTGAATTAAGGAACCAGGGTGGTCTAGTACAAGGGTGGGCAATTATGGCCCTTGTACAACCTGTGGACTTCAATTCCCAGAATTCCTGACCCTGCATTAAGAGATAGTAAAATAAAAAGAAGCTTGAATTATGCAATATTGTGCACCAGTACAGGTAGTCCTTGACCTGTGACCACATCTGAGCCCAAAATGTCTTGTTGTTAAGCAAAACAGTGATTGTGAGTTTTTCCCCATCTTACGACCTTTTGCCACAGCTGTTAAGTGAATCACTGCATTTGTTAGGTAATAATTCTGATACAAAGGAAGTGGTGGTCTGTTCTAAAGAGTGAAACTTTGTCAAAAGGTGTCTATGGAGATTCTCAGTCATCCAGATCATCATTATCCCAACTTTTCATTAAGCACATTCAGTTTCCCCCATTGAACTGTTTGTCATAAGCTGGCTGAGAAGGTCGCAAATGGAGATCACATGACTCGGAGTGTTGCAACAATTGCATTTTCATGCTGGATGATTGGCTGGTGGGGAATGGAAGGATTTATACTCCTTGCAGACAGCTGGTCATTTGCATCCTTTTAGAGTTGTTGAGGCCACTTGGAGGTTTACACCTGTGTCCACAGGGTCACCTGAGTAGTGCTTCTTGGCTGGAGGATGTTTTCTGCCCTGTTTCCCTCTTCAGTCAGAGCTGAAGAAGCTTCTTGGATGAGAAGCGAAACGTCTTCAAAGAAAAACAAGAAAGTCCAGTTGCCTCCTGAAAAAACACCTTTGGGACTTCGTCAAAAGAAGTAAACAGAAGGCTATAGTATAATAGCATGTTTGCCCATTCTATGGATGTCCAATAAGCGCATGAGAAGGACCATTGAATTAAGTTGGATATACAGGTAGTCCTTCATTTACAACCACTCATTCAGTGACCATTTGAAGTAACGGCACTGAAAAAGTGACTCACAACTCATCCTCGCAGTTACAACCGTCATAGAATCAGGTGATCAAAATTCAGGTGCTTGGTAAATGGCATGAAAATGCAACGGTCACAACACCCCGAGTCATGTGATCTCCATTTGCGACCTTCCCAGCCAGCTTCTGACAGGCAGTCAATGGGGGAAGCTGAATTTGCTTAATGACTACCTGATTCACTTAACAACTGCAGTGACTGGCTTAGCAATTGGGGCAAAAAAAAAAAGGCTTAACATCGGGGAGCAACTCAGGTAATATTCACCTTGCTTAGCAACCGAAATTCTGATCCCAATTATGGAGCACTACCTGGATTGGAAATCAGAATCCAATTATATTTCATCTTTAATTATCAAACATAGAAACTCCCAATTCTGCCTTCTCTGGATTCTGCCATAAGAGGGAGAAAAGGGGGAGAGCAAAGGGGCTTTATGGCCCTCACTTCCTTCAGCACACTTCAAAGGACTGAATGTGTGTTTATTGTGGCCTCTAAGCTTTAACATATCAAAGAAGAGTAATTGCCTTTCATGTAGTTATCTGAAGTCTCCATCCAGACGGAAGAAGAAAGGGGATGGAATTGTGATACTTGAAACTATCACTGGAAGGGGGGTTGATTGGGTGGGACTACTGGGGAACCCCTTAAAACCTTGAATGGGAGAGCTTGAACCCCAAGTCCTGTCTAGCATGCCTGCAACCATTTTCTCTTAATAAAGGATTCCTGTTGGAAGAGCTATTCCAAGAGTTCTGTCTTCTTAAGATGCAAAGTGGGGTGGGTCCTTACATTAGACAGGACTTGCAAAATTAATCCACCTGGAAGGTAGACCCTTGCCGGGGGATTTTGCAAAAATTTACCATGTCAGACAACGAAGCAAGAGAGGGAGAAAACTCCCTGGAAAGAGAGCCGCTGACCCAGTTGGAACCTTGCCAGATGTTGGGATCCGAGAGGCCAGATTTCTCAGAAGAAGAAGTGGTGGAGACACAGGACCACAAGCCTCGCTGGTCGATGGGCGTTGGAAAGAAAAGCGAGTGGGGAAAGGAATCAAGAAAAGTGACCCTGAGACGGGGAACCAAGCAACCAGAATGGAAGCAGGAGATGGAGAAATCCCTGCACGCAAGTGAAGAGGGAGGAAGCTGTATGCCGTACTCAGACTGGATCCTAGAGAGAGCTATGACCTGATGAAGAGAACTCTCAGCTCCCTAGGAGAGGAGATTCCTGAGCCCTACGCCCGCCCCAGTTCCTGGAGCCACAAAGGGAGAGACACCGAGGGGGACGTGGAACCTGCAACCCCAGGGACATTTACTGATCCAGGAGCTCCCACCCCCTACCGGACCACAGATGGAAATCTGGACGGAAGACACTACCACCCACAATGGAGGCACCGATCCATTCCAAGACGTCCACCGTTGGAGGTGAAATTCAAAGGGGAGCCAACACGCTTGGGGTTTTTCCTAACCCAAGTCCTCAGCTACATGGAGGAATATGGGCAGGACATCCCCAGCGACAAAGCCCGCATCCGGATCGTGCAATCTGCCCTGGATGGACCAGCTGCAGATTGGGTGGTGAACCTGCATGACTCCAATGCCCCAGAACTCAGTAACTTCAACCGTTTCATGTCCTCGTTGAGAAGACGGTTTGAAGACCCCCTGGCTGATCGCAAAGCCCGTGAAAGAATAACAACGATGAGGCAGGGCAAACGCCCAGTGGCTGAGTATACACAAGAATTCCGAGCCATTGCCAGCAAACTGAATTGGCCAGAAGACATCCTCCTTGGCCGTTTCAAAGATGGACTAAACTATGATCTATATGATGCTTGCCTGCCCCGAGGAGACCCACATCGACTTGAGGAATGGTACGTCTTGGCAGAGGAAGCAGAGATCGACATATTGAAGAGGCATCGCCGAGGAAAACAATGGAGCCGCCCCCCGCCTGAGCTGACACACCAACCGGTGAAATCATCGGATACAGCCAAGAAGCAGATGGGGTGTTTCAAGTGCGGAAGAGAAGGGCATCGAGCTGTAGAATGCCGCTCAAAGGCCCCCCAGCACAACCCAGACAGATCCCCAATCAACAAACCCAGAGGGTATTCAGCTAAGCCAAAAGAAACAGCCATGAAAATGATGGAAATTGCAGAAAACCCCACCTCTGCTCACCAAGGGGAAAGAACTCCAGCCTACACCACAGGGACGGTGGATGCCTCAGATGACAGCTCGGAAGGCGAACCCCTGGTAAGTGGACGCATCACACCCATCTTCAAAACAGTGACTATATTAATCCCCCCCATGCCCGAAGCTGTGAAGGTGAAAGCCTTAATAGACTCTGGCTGCACCCGCTGCCTCATTAGCCCAACACTAGTGGGGAATCTGGGCATCCCATCCAGGAGACTGGAACAACCAATCTCATTTGGCCAGCTAGATGGATCCATAGCAGGGGGGGTGCCAGCTACCCTAGCCACTCTACCAATACACCTCTCCCTGGGCAAACATGAAGAGGACATAACGTTTGTGGTGACCCCAGGTATGGAATGCCCAATGATTCTAGGGATGGAATGGTTGAAAAAATGGAACCCCTGGGTAAATTGGAGGACGACAGAAATCAAATTCCCGAAGGGGGACCCTATGGACTTAAAACCCCAAGGGAGGCTACCAGAATCAAGAATAGAAAAAGCATCCATAGGAGAGGAAAAAAGATTAACAGAAATACCAGAGGAATATAGGGACCTTGCTGAAGTCTTCAGTGAGGAGAGGGCGAATGAGCTTCCCCCCCACCGACCCACAGACTGTACCATTGAATTCAAGCCTGGGGCAAAACTCCCGAAGCCCAGATTATACTCCATGAGCCCAAAGGAGAAGGAGGAAATGGAAAGATTTATAAAAAAAAACCTGGAGAGAGGTTTCATTGAACCAGCTAAGCCTAAAGTGGCTGCCCCGGTCCTTTTTAGAGAGAAGAAGGATGGCTCTTTACGTTTATGCGTGGATTATAGGGCCCTGAACACAATCAGTGAAAGCAACCTATACCCGCTGCCCCTCATGAAAGACATGCTGTCACACCTATCGAAAGGGAAAATTTTTTCTAAACTAGACTTAAGGGAAGCTTACTATCGCGTGAGAATCAAGGAAGGGGACGAATGGAAGACTGCATTTAACTGCCCCATGGGGTGCTATCAATTCAAAGTCTTGCCATTTGGATTACAAGGGGGCCCTGCAGTCTTTATGCAATTAATCAATGACGTTCTAAGGGAGCACCTGTTTAAGGGGGTCCTTGTTTACTTGGACGACATTCTTATCTTTACCGAAACAAAAGAAGAACACGTCAAACTTGTCAGAGCGGTTTTAAAGAAGCTGCGAGCCGCTCACCTATATGCCAAACTCTCAAAATGCGAATTCCACCAGGAAAGGATAGACTACCTAGGCTATCGCATATCCCCACAGGGCATTGAAATGGACCCAGAGAAGGTCAGAGCAGTATTAGAATGGGCACCACCCCGCACAAGAAAGCAACTACAAAGTTTCCTGGGCTTGGCAAATTTTTACCGCCAA